ACACACACACACACACACACACACACACACACACACACACACACACACACACACACACACACACCGTTGTATTTGCATCAAACTGAGGAGTTTGTATTGATTTACATTATTTTGATGTGACTGCATTTATGCCTCAGACATTTTACCTAACCTTAACCACAACTTAATTCACACCATACCTCAAAACCTACCTAGTAGAGGACAGTAGAACTGTAGAAAAAAAAAGCGAAGACCAGGAAAATGTCCTCATTTCCCAAAAATGACCTGACTTTGTTGGTTAAAAACATACAGTGCAATCGCTTGACTTTTTCCACATTGTTATTTTTTTGGCCTTATTCCCTAATGCACTAATGTTTTCATCACAAAATAAACATCCTGATGTATTCCTGCTTGTTAGTAATGAAGATCAGCTACAAACTGACCTACAACCTTCTTCTCACCTTATTGCCTGGATTTATTTACGGCTGTAAAAGAGTAAAACCACAAACATGTTTCAGTAGCTCAGATTTAATGTGTAAAAGAAGTGCAATGCATCCTTTAACCTGTTGCACTAAACAGACGTTTCTCCACCCGTCATGGTCGACTTCAGGTGGAAAAAGCTGCTGAACAGGGAGATGTTTTATTTCTGTTCTGTGACAGGCTCTGAACAAGATGGAGACCCAACCACATGCCAACACCACGCCTCTGAGCTTCAACACAGAACACGCAGACCGAGAGACGCGTACCCCAACCTCAGACTCTGCAACAAACTCAGAGGAGGAGGTGGAGGAGCTAATGAAAGTGAACGAGTGGAGTGAGAACGAACCGCAGACTCCATCTCCCACAATGCAACAGGACTCGACTCTGTCAGATGAACTCTGTGAGGAGGAGGAGGAGGAGGCTGCAATGACGCGTCATCAACAGCCAATAGAACAGTTGAGTTGGCCTSAAGGGACGAAGGTACAGACAGAAGACGCCTCTTTGTCTGAAGAAAAGGATTATGGGAAGTGTAGTCCAGAAGAGCTGCTGCAGGACACTGCTGACAGACTGAAAGCTGAGATGGACAACATATTGACAGAGACCTGGACAGGTGAGTCAGACACATGAAGAGACACCGCTCCACCTTTAAAAGCCCCACAACACTAAAACAATGTGTGTCCAGGTGAGAGACCGGAGGCGGAGCTTCTGCAGGCAGCAGAACAGGTGGGAGACTCCATTTGCCGTCTGGTGAAAGGTTTGAAGCAAAACTGAACAGGTGACTCAGGTTCGGGTTATTTAACCGTTTATTTAGAATAAATTCTTTTACATTTCAGTAAACACAAAAAATTAAAAAAGTATCAAACCAGCACACCTGTGAAAAGGTATCGGTGTTTCCATGGAAACAGCTGCCAAAGTTACCGTACGGTGAGGTGAACAGCATCAACTTTCAAAGAAACGTGTTTGATATTAAAAAAATTATAGTTTRAACAGTTTTTATAGTAAATACATAAAAACAGTTTACAAATTRATTTGTTTCTTCACTGTCATGATACACAACAAACTGTAGATGTTTAAAAATAAGATAATAAATGTTCTTATTTTAAAACAGTCATTTTTACTTTATTTCTGTATAAGCAATAAATCCTGAAAGCCTCAAAATATGTCAGATAATAAAAATTATTTACTTGAAATGTAAAATTAGGTTTTGGTTTAAACTTTTAATGTTCTGTGCTGAAAGAAAAATAAATACTTTTGATTTCTCAAAACAACAAAATGCTTTTTGTTGAAAATTATTGTGCCAGTTGAATTTTTGGCCCCAGCAGGCTTCTGTACAGAACAGTAATGATTTGTATTTGTTTTCACCTGGTCAGGTAAATAGCTACCGGCCCCCTTCTCACTGCTTCGCTCTCTTTGTCTCTGCTGCCTGCGAAATAGCAAGTGGGCGGGGCCTAAGTTTTATAGCAAGAGCTGTTCGTCGCAAACCCTCCCTTCTAGGCTGTTGGGGCGGGGCTTGAACCCTGGTTCTTCTGCTGGAGGGCGGGAGGCGTGACCTTCCTCCTCTTACCTGCTCTGATCTGCTTTGGAGGGAAGTGAGCGGAGTCTGAGGCCCCCTTCCCCGCCTCCTCACATTCTGAGCTGAGTCTCTAGTACCCCCTTTAGGTCTGTCACCCTGCGGCAGATCACTGTTGAGATCTGGACTTAGACTACGGAACAGCTGACGAACGCATGGCAGCGACAGGCCTGAGGAGGCGGAGCCTCTTTTCCACATCAAGCCTTTAGGGGGTTTCTTCAGGATGCGGTTCGTGCCAGGCTCGTAGAACCTAACAGGTAGCTTTTTATATTTGACCTTTACTCCCTGCAGGTCAACGGGACGCCGCCGCCTCCTGCTACGCTTGKGGGTGGAGCCTTCTGGTGCGGCGGTGGCAGAGCCTGAAGGGGAGCAGAGCAGGTAGACGAGCGATGTGGATGGCTGCACGGGTGTGACKATGTTGGAGTACGATGAAGGGAGACAATGCCACGGCTGCGTCTCGGGTGTCTTCTGATTAGCTGCAGGCATTCTGATGGGCGGAGTCTCTGGAAACAGGTGATGGACAGCTGGAACAACCAATCGAACGGTCTGAGTGCTGTGGCTCACTTTGACCACCTGCAAGAACAAAATCAGGTGAGTCTTGTTTTTTTCAGAGGCTGGAAAGTGTTTATCTGACCTACCTGACACCTGGATGCCAGTCTAAAGCTCCGCCTCCTCCTCTTCCTCACATAAACAGAGTCATCATCGTCTCTGTCCATCAGGGGCAGCACAACTGTGTCTGGCTCCTCCTCCTTGGTGTTAGTGAGCTCCACCTTCTTTTGGCTCCTCCTACCATACCTGAAATCACCAGGAGCAGGTGTTTGTCACGTTACCTGACGTATTACATGGAACAAACGTGTTTAAAGGGATCCATAATTAGTTGTAACATTAAACTTTACTTGATAAACATATATTTTAACTGTAAAATAAAGACTGTAAAAATACTGTAGGATGTTTAATTTTTATCATTTTTAAACTAAAATTTTAAAAATATATTTTAACACAGATGGGCCATTTTATTTACACACAAAGCATTCTGGTAAATGATGACATGGATAGGTCCTCAGTGCGAGGTTGCTAGTGAGCTATAGCCACCCTGAAGGTTAATCTTGGACAATATCTGATGATTGGCTCTTTTAAATGAAACCAGAGAGCGTTGACAGAGAGGAGAAGGTAGAAATGACTCAGTCTGTAACTGAAAATATAGATGGAGGACCTCAGTTTAGCTTGTTCGTCGTGCTAGCGCCAAGCTAATACATATAAGGTAATATAGTGTCGGCGCTAACGCTAAAGCTAACAGGCTAAGCTGAGGTTCTTCTTCCATGAAGCAGCTCTGTTGTCCTCCATCCATATTTTCAGTTACAGGCTGAGTCATTTCTACCTTCTCCTCTCTGTCAACGCTCTCTGGTTTCATTTAAAAGAGTCGATCATCAGATATTGTCCAAGATTAACCTTTAGGGTGGATATAGCTCACTCACACCAATGACCTATCCACGTCATCATTTACCCAGAATGCTTTGTATGTAAATAAAATGGCTCCATCCGTGTTAAAATATATATTTAAAAAAATATAAAAACTAAACGTCCTACAGTATTTTTACAGTCTTTATTTTACAGTTAAAATTTATGTTTATCAAATAAAGTGTAATGTTACAACTAATCGTGGATCCCTTTAACGTTCATGAGGACGGTTTATATTTGACTTTCTGCTACAGAGCGAGTGCAGGTGAACAGGTGAGTGCTCCATCACCTGGCCAGGGACTCCGTGTCAAAGTAGCAGATGAATCGTCCTCGTCTGAACTGTTGAACTATTTTCTCCACTTTCTCCTCGTCCTCCTGCTCGATCTGGGTCCATGTCTTCCCCCGGAAAGATTTTGGGATATGTTCTGGGACCGGCAGGACCTCGTCTATGGGCAGACTCCAGAACCCCTCCTCCTGCTTCATTCCACCGCCGAGGAGGGCGGAGTCTAGCTGTTTAACGTACACCGGGTCCTCCATGTCCACCTGGACGTCCATGAGACGGCTGACGTCCCAGCCATCCTCCGGGGTCACCTGGACAGGTGGGGCGGTGCACTCTCCCCCTCGTTGCAACAGCACCTGCGAGACAAACATCCAGAATCAGAACCTTTTAAAAACCCAAACCTCTTCCTCCTGCAGCTYGATTTCGTGTACCTGCACAGGTGAGTCCCAGTCCTCGCTCTGTGTTTCCATGGAGACGGGAAGGCTGAGACGAAGGCTCTCTGTCTCCTCCTGCTGGTGTGAAGCTGAACYGGTACTGTGGCAACACATCTGGATCACCTGAGGACCAGACAGAACTTCATCAGGACCCTGGTCCCACCAACGCCTACAGACTGAACACTGAATCCAGTTTCTGTTGGTCAACTTTAAAAACCGACCAATCAGATCAGTCTGAGTTTGGGTTAGTTGGATTTTRAAGTGAGAATTCTGTTTTTTATTTAAAACCTTTTGCTCTGAAAAGACTTCTGTTATTAATAAAGTTTTTCCTGTTTAAATAAAGTCAACAATGTTAGGATCAAATAATCTGTAAGAACAAACCTTCTCAATGGTCTGGTCCAGGAGGTCACTCTGGTCTGAGAATGCCTCCTCTTTCTGAGCCTCCCTCCTCTCCTTCTGCCAGCTCTGCCAGGGTTTGGGGTCTGAGGGGAACTGGACTGTTGGTTTCGTAGGGATCCGGGGCTCCTTGGGTGTTTTAGGWCCTTGCTTTTGGTGGGGCTTGGGAACCGGGCTCTTGCGGCCCTGAGAGGACGACGACTCGCTGCGTTTCCTCCGGTTGGTCTTCCTATGGGCTTTTCTGTGAACAGAGGGCGGGGCCTGAGGCTGAGGAGGCGGGGCCTGAGGCTGAGGGGGCAGGGCTTGGGGTTGTAGTCGTGGTGAACATGCGCACCCAGCAGGAACAGCACCCTCATTGTCCTGCTCTCTGAATGTAGGTGAAACCCTGTGCTCATCTGTCCTCTCTCCTGATTGGCTGAAAATGCTGTGGTCTTCTTCCTGATTGGCTGGCTGACGGGACGCATCATCAGAACTGGGCAGGTGCTCTCTGGTGCCTAAAGACCGACTGTCATCAGAGAAACGGAGTTCGTCAAGCTCCGCCCTCGGCACTGGGGGTGCAGAGACTGATGGGAGGTCCGAGTGGGACGGTCTGAGGGAAACAAAATGTGCAAACAGGTCAACAAATGTGCAACTGGGTAAACAAATGAGTAAACAGGTCAGCAAATGTGCAAACATGTAAACAAATGTGCAAACAGGTAAGGTAGGTTTGAGAGGAGTAAAAGAAGCCATTTTTGTGAAGAAAGACCGTCCAYCATTAAACAGAGGTGGAGGCCTCCGTTTTCAGTTGTCCCCCTCCTACAGTGCAGCTATTGCCAGTATCACTCCACCCCCTGTTAACAATAGGTGTTAATTAGGTGTCAACGATAGCCATGTGATGTGAGTATCAGTCACATGGAGGCAGGGCTTAAAAGCCTGAATTTTGCCTGAAACTCTCAGACTGAAGAAGTCTCTTGGAGGAGACGAAACGTTTCATTAGAGAAGAACCCGTCCAGAAGACCTATACAATTTTTTTCTTTTTGATTTTTTTACCTGGATTACTGAGATGCATCACAAATGTGCAAACAGGTCAACAAATGAGTAAACAGGTCAACAAATGTGCAAACGGGTAAACAAATGTGCAAACAGGTAAACAAATGTGCAAACGGGTAAACAAATGAGTAAACACGCAGGCAACCAAACAAAGGAGGTACCAAGCAGGTAAACATCTTTACTCATGTGAGGGCAGGTGGGTTTGTTTTACTCACCTGGGGTCGTCGTAGCGGTGCGGGTGGTGTTGGAGGACGTCCTGCAGGAAGCGCTCCAGCAGTGTCCGACTGCTTTGGTTGCTGGTGGAGGTGGAGCTTCTGGAGGACGCCTGAACAGAATCCAGGTGTCTGAGACTCGCCAGATGCTGTCACACACACACAATGATGTCATCATTCGATTACCTGTGATTCAACAACTCAGTCACATGATTAGACCCTTACCTGGTCCAGGTTATTGTACAGGACTCTGCAGTACCCACAGTAACCCTGCTGGCTGGGCTGACACCTGGATGGACCTGGTTCAGAGTCCAACCACATCCTATCAGACACAGAGGATGTGTCACCTCATGTCCTTTTTATACTGTACTTTTTCATATTCTTGATCASTTTTTATTATATCACACATTTACCCACCTGCTGGTAAGCTCCGCCTTCTTCTGGCCATCTGATATAAAATCCCAGATTCCAGTAAGAAACAGAAATCTACACTCAGGTGATTTAAATGTTTGTGTTCTTACCTTCATCAGAAGAGTGTGACATCCTAACAGGAGACCTAAAACACACACACATTYAACACACCTGTGACCACAGGTAAACTGCTGGAGAACAAGKAACTGCAGGTGGTTGGACCCACCTGGAGGCAGTGTAGTCAGCAGAGTATCCGTCCAATCAGAGCACTCCATGCTGTAACCAATGGTAACCATGTGTTGGCTGCAGAGTCCATGAACCTGAGGAGGAAATAAAAAAGGTAGAACATGAAAGTTCACATCTACACCTGAGCTGAGTGGGCGGAGCCTGAGCATCACGCCTCAATGTTCAACAGAAAGACCTAAAACACCTTTAGGTTTTAAGTTTTCTAAAATGATGACCGAAAACTAACGTTTTAGTCCGAGTCCTCCTTTCTGTGACGAGCAGCTGGAGTTTTACAGTTTAAACAAACTGAACTGATGTTTAGAATCTGGTTCTTAACTTTTTAACCAATGTGTTAAATGTGACCAAGTATCAGAATGCTGCTAGCTGACCTTTTTATTTAAAATACCTTTTAGGTTAAAAATACTAAAATCTTGTTTGACAAAATCTGTTTGGCAGAGAACCTCACAGTCCAGTTTTAGCCTGATCCTCTTTTTCTTAAAATTATACCCTTTAGGAGAAATTATAAACATTATAACAACCTGTCATCTGTATGTTGAGACATACAATTGATCTTTTAGGACCTCAGAAACCTACAACTGTCTGAAATCAAATTAGAGCTGTACAACAACTCTGCTGATAAATGAAAACCAGACTGAGACTCTTATTGACTAAAATGATCAAATTCCTTTAATCAGGCAGCATCAGTAGATTTCAGATACAGACATGTATTCAGATAGGCATGGGATGGTATGAAATTATGACGATGTATAACCTTGGGCAAAAATATCATGATTTTGTGGTATGACGGTATTATAATTACAGCTTTAAAAAGTTTATTTTCAAGTTGTTTTTTTAAAAGAAGGAAACTTATTTTCTATCATATTCAACTTCAATTATCTTAGGAAGCTGTTTTTAGATCTCAGAGGTGTTRTGCTGAAATTGTATTTACCTGTTTGCATTTATACTTGTGATTTTTAGCAGCTAATTCAATTAGATTATCCTGATAAAGTTTAAATCTAATAGAATAACTGATTTTCCACTACTTTATTAGTTAAGACAATGTGACAGTGCATATTGCACGGCAAGTCTTTATTGAATTAATGTATCACGTTGGGAGTTTTTATTGTTTTAAATTTCAGAAGGGTTTTTGACGTAAAGATTATATAATTATATGCTCACAGAAATAACAATTTGTGACCAGCGCATTAAACGCTTATATTGTAGGCACAGTATGACAGAACATTTTAGTGGTTTTCAAACCGTGACTTTTTCATTTCACGGTATACCTTGAAACCAGTATTTGGCCCATGCCCACAGGATATACAGTAGTGAGCTAACAGCAGAACACCACTTACCTGCAATTTTGGCTGTTAGCTCACTACTGTATA